GAGGTCTTTTCCAACCTTAATGATTCTGTGATTCTATGATTCTATAAATGAGTCTTGGGGGATGGCGAAAGGGAGGAAAGTGCCCGGGGGGTGCTGGGTTTGGGGGTTTGGCTCTCTCCAGGCTGGATTATGTTGCAGATGTGGGGAGAGGGGTGGGTGCCTCGTGTCGGGGACGCTGGGGGCTCCTGCAGCGAGCGGGCAGGCTCAAGCTTCTGAGGCTGCTGCAGGTTTTGCCTTTGATGGCAATGCTGGTATAACACCAAGTGTTGAGTTTTTCTCAGTCTCGATAGTTTCTATATGACCATTCCTTGCGATTCTGCCTGGTCAATGGGAGAGTTCAGTATTACGGGGGGAACATATAGAAAATATCCTCTTCACTACTAAGCCATGGCTTCCAGCAGCAAAATAAACGAGAGCCAGACACGAACAGTATCTAACACAAAATTACTGACACATCCCTACGGAGAGGCGTGGGTTGATGTGCAGAGCTCCCTCCGCCGCTGCCGTGGCCCTGCCTGCCTCTCACCAAACCCACAGAGCTCATCTCGGTCGTTCTTTAAAATGCGTTTTTGATACTGGGGCTGCCGTTTGCAGTGGGTTTGTGCCCCAAAGCCTTCGCCCGAGCCAGCCAGCGCGAGGGGGCTGAGAGCTGCTAACGGGAGCTCCTCGTAAAAGGGCTAGGGAGAAAGCAATGACACAAGCTCCTGCTCAATTTACTTTTCATGTTCTCGTTTGTAATAATTTTGTGTTTTATGAGGGATACTTCCTAAAACTTCCCCAACATGATGGAAACACATGTGGTGCTATAATACATGATGTGACTCTTTTGGTGGAGAGACAAGATGAAAACCTGCTTTTCTCTGACAGCTACATGTGATACGGTCCAGTGCGCCGGGCGAGCGGAGGGGCATGGGGTATCTGACCTTCCCCCAGCCATGCCCACGCTGTTAACCCCTCCAGAAATACTGCCTGCATATCTCTGCATGCACAATTTCCAGGTGGATTTTCTTGCTAATTCATTATTTAAACTTTTTCTCCTCCTTTTTTTGTTTTTCTAGGGGTAGCCCAGCTCTGTGCCCATGCACGTCTGTGTGTCACCCCCAGGTGACAGGGAAAGCATCGCTTGAGATTTTATCCGAAGGGCAGGCTTGCTCCTGTGCTCGCTTCAAGGACAGAGCCGAACTGGGGGAAGCAAATACCGATCCTAGAAATGGTTTCTGCAGGCTTCAAAGCTAATAATGCCAAGGTTAAAGGGCCTTTGCTTATTCGAATTAGCAAATCCCTCTACAGTGGACATGACTGAGGTATCAGCGTCACTGGCTGTATTTGAGCCACACTGCAGTAGGAGTCACTGAACTGGGACAATTCCTGCAGTATTTGTGTTTGGGTGAGTGACGAGGGTCCCCTTGCCTGTCAGCCAGAACCGCTGGCATCCCCTTCCCTGCAGCGGTGGGTGCAGAGGGTCCCCAAAAACGCAGGGCTGGCCCTCACCAGCAGCACCCTGGCTTGGGATAGGGGCTGTCGGTAATCCTGGTTTTCATTATTTTAATGGTAAGATAAAACTTTTCTGTAGTGTGAAAAACAATCCTAAGTCTCCCTGTGTTTATAGGAAAGGCTCAGACAGGCTGAAAAGATGGTGCGCAAGAGCTGGAGACCACAGGACCGCAACGAGGGTGAAAGGACACCGGTCATAAATGGTCTGGGGATATCTTTCAACTGAAAATAAAATTCTAGTGGCAGGAAAGTGCAACAGTGACATTGGTGAGTAATTCCGGAAGAATGCAGAGGCCGGCAATCACAGGCAGCAACCAAAAAGGTGGAGAGTGGTAAAATCCTCTAACCTTGCCGACGGATTTCCAGTTTCCAGCTGGAAATGGCAAAGCGCTCTCGAGTTTTTCAGATTCCTTAAGAGATTGTGGCCTTGCCTGATCACCAGAAACATGGCTGCTTTGTAAGAAGCCTCTCGTTTTGGTGCAGAATTCGTTTTGGAGGTACGAGCCCAGGTGCAGCAGAGGGCTGTGGGTGGCATTTTGGGTGCAAAACGCCTGACTGCTGGGACCAGGAGAGGATGTAGTAATGGCACCTGGGGACTTATGGCACGTGGGCAGAGCAACCTGTAAAATACGTAAAATAACATGCAGGGAGGAGGGAGGCTTGCTGGGAGACAGGCAGTGGCTGGGGATGCTGGAGAAGTTGTCTGGGGGCAGCTTCCTCGCTGCGGGGCAGGGCTCTGCTGTCGGGGGGATTGGGGGTTGGTTGTTTCCCATGAAAGCCTTTGCTTTGACTTTCCGTGGGGGACCCGTCCTTGGACACTTCTGTGCATTTCCCACCTTCAGCTTCACCTTATGTCCCAATAAAGCTTTTTCTTGCTACTTAATTTTCCCCGTACCTCTGTGTGCCTTTGAATGGGCTGACTTGGACCAAGAACTGCTGAAACACTTTGAGAAGTGCTCTGAATATGTCGGGACGTTGCTCAATTGCTTTGGCCAAGCTGGGCGGTGTGAAGCAGCCCTCTGGCCAGTGACTTTGGTTTTGAGAGGTGCCAGCAGCCTTTCTGGTGCCCGACACGCAGCGTGATGCTGCCCCTCGGCTTTGTCCTGGGGAGACTCGGAGAGCAAGCAAATATGAAATGGGGGTTCTCAGTAAAGAAACCCCCACATATTAATGAGGAAAATTAATGTACTTTGTGAGTTGGTTTCTCCTGCACTTTGGGCTGGTGTAAATTAGGACCAGGCCAAAGAAGTCAGGAGGGCTGCACCAGTGTAAACCGGACTTCATAAAATAAAAAGGAGAGGCCCCCTTTGTCAGGCGATGGCTTTTCCTCAGAAGCTAAATGATACATAATGTTTATATAGTGTTTTGCCTCTCCTAAATGCAGGCTAGACATTAATTGATTCCAGGTTTGCTCTGTGAAGTAGGTCAGCTCTTTCCATTTTGCAGATAAAGGAGCGGTGGGGATTGCCGAGGGGTGCACGGGGGGTCAGCGCCGGCGCTGGGGCACCTATACGGCTCGCCGCCCTCGCTGTCAGACCACGCTGCCTCCCTAAATATACACCGCTTCTGATGTATGTCGAAATCAGCTGTGACTCTGTAAACCCAGTTACATTAAGCCCAGTTCAAATGAAATCTGTTTATGTCTCCAACGCTCACTGCTGGTCAAAGCAGGACTTAACTAACCTAATGCTGTTTGTGTTAAACCTCTGCTCTGACCATCTTGAAGTGAAATATAAAGTACTCGCTGGGACCTGGCCGAAGTCCAGGGAACCGTTTCAGACTCCCCCCCTCTCTCTTTTGCTCGTGGGGCCGTTTAGAAAAAGCATCGCACATTTTAAACAGTGATGGAAAAAAATTATTTTAATTCACTTCAGTTTACATAGCACTGGAAGCTTGTGAGAGTTTGTAGAAACGATTATTAATGCTTTAAACTGGCCTGGTAAAAATGTTGCCTTGGTCTGGGAACATGAGCTGGCTCTCGAGCCCCTGGCACTGGTTTAGCCAAGCACCGGCCCCGCGGGCTGCGCCGGTGGAGCCGGGGAGGGATGAACGAATGGCTTGGTAGGTCCCACCGTTGTGGTTCATTTTGGCATCTTGGAAACAGCCTCCTGCCCATTCTGCTGATGTTGAACTGTCAAAACCCAAAGCCTGCATCTGGGGAAACACCCGGCTCTTGCTGGTCGCCGTCATTTCTGGATGCCCAGCTGGGAGGTGTTGGATGGCCAGACCATAGGGAAGTGGGGCTCGGAGCACCCCTCCTTCACTGCTGTCTCAAAGCTGACCTGC